AAATATGTACCAATCAGCTTTAAGATTTTGCCTTCGTTTTAGATGCCAGTAAAACCATACACTAACGTTCCTGGTAAGTTTATAAGTTATAATGCTAACTGTTAGCATTAGTATTTAGAGTTAAAGTTAGGGTTTGGGAAGTTTTTTAGGGGTGTTGGGCTCAATATAAGCACAATCTCTTTATAAGCACATTTCTAATAAAAGTTATTATCATCCCGACTTAGTGATTTTAGAGATGTCTGACTGTACTACAAACTGATTTAATAATGAATAAATGGCTTATTTCAATTGCGCTTACTATTAAAATCATTACAAATCAATGAGAAGTGGAAAACTTGTTTTATATCTAATTTCTATTCACTGTTTATAATTAAGATTTTTTTTCTGATTTCTATGTCTTCATATTAATATTCTCTCGATATATTGTAAATCGTTAGTGATGGGTAAAGCGCGTGATCCCGCACGGGATTTTTGGAATCCGCGATTTGCCCATCACTATAAATCACAATATATACTATGAAATGGTGTTCGATTAGAAGATCAGTGTAATGGATTTAACGTTTATTGAATTTATTTTAAAATGGCGAAAGTGTGGGCTTTTCATGGATTTCGAAGAATAATCGTACCAAGAAAAAAACATCTGAATTAAAAAAGAAACCTTCAAAAAATTTCTCTAAGAAATCATTAAGGGTTTTATTTTTGTATTTAGTTTATTTGCTATTTTTCTTACAGCAAATGCAGTTCCATTTCAACTTAATAAAAGAGCTACCAACTTCGAACCTTGTTCCGATGATTTTGATTCACTTACTGTGGCAATAAATCCTGATCCTCTGTTGGAAACAAACATGAACTATTTAATGTATCCGAAACATATCACCGTAAACAAGACCATTGTTCAAATTGTTTTATTTTCAGCAGAAAAAAACATTACAATCAAATATTGATGAATCATATAATGCTGGAACCCCATTCACGATAACTATATCAGTTATTCATATTCCTACTGTATCAGATTCATATTCAATTGGAGTTTTTTTTTAGAGATTCAGAAAATCCTGGTCCTTATGCCTGTGCACTAGCTACTTTTAATGGTTCTGCAGCTAATTTTTTCGGTGATTTTTCCTATTAGTGCTTTATTGTTTACCGGTAAATAAAAAATTATAATGATTGCACTATATTAGTTTTAATAATAAAGGTCTATAACAAAAGTATTGAACTGTTTATGTAATAATTCTTTTACTCTAGTAGCTATAAAGTTTTAACAAATTACATGTCCTGTACCTTATTTATTTTATTAATAAATATATTTAATTAGTTAAACTACATATTCTGCACCTCATTTATTTTATTATAATAATAAATGTACTTAATTAATTAAAAATTTTTCTGCTAATCAAAATTTAATTTTTAATACATTTTGACAGAAAAATTTAAACACTGTATAAAATAATAATAATAATACTAATATAAATGCTCAAATTTCTAATATTTTCTTATTGCTGTATTGCCTGGAGTAATTAGAGGACACACTGTTTTTATGACAGCATGTTATCATCTAGATCATGTAATAATTCTGTCTGTCCGCTTGCACGATAGCCCTCGCGCAGGCTGCTTATTTTACGAGTGACACAAACCAAATAAGGAATTGAATTTTGTGTTAAAAATAGAAGTTTAAGATTATGACGTTAGAGTTAAAAGTTATGTGATTGATTTGTGTTTATATGTGCAAAATTTTGTTCCCATCATTTTTAACCAAAGCCGGTTAAAACATTAGTTCGGGTATTTTCTTCTTTTTTTTATCGCACTGGGTGTGCCCACCGTGATACAAACCAAAAAAGGAAATTTTTGTACGTAGATCGTAAGATCAGGTATAACATGAAATTTGTTGGTATTTTCAAAAAATCGCTAATAACTCTTAAAAACGTTTCTTGTATTCTAACTTTAAAGTTAAAGCAAATTTACAGCAAATAGAATATTTTTAATTCATATGATTTGTATCACATGAGAAATAAGTAAACCCATATTCACCAGATAATCAAAATTTTATGTTCTCTGATCGACTATCTCCTTTTTAGGAGTTTGCATTACCTGCTAAAATAAGTGTATGCCCCAACATGCTGTTATCCAATATAATAAGCAGAAATTACTAATTATAGGGCGCCACATTCTCTCGCCTCTTATACTTTATAAAATTTCTTCCTAATAGTAATACAATGATATGAATTTAACTTATTCCGATTAATTATAAAAATGATACTTGAATCTAAATATCCAAATATAAAAATTCCACCAATAGGAATTTATCAATATGTTACTAGTAATCCAAACAAGATTTCCGAAGATAAGGTTATCTATGTCGACGGAATTACTGATAAAAGTTACACTTTTGGCGAATTTAAGCATGAATCTAAAAAGTTTGCTGCAGGATTGCAAGACAGATTAGAATTTAAACGTGGGGATGTTTTGGCGATATTTTCACCTAATCAGGTACTCTTTAAGCTATTTTTCATTAGAAAAATCATTCGTTCATTTGTTCGATGATATAATTATTTTTTATCAAGGTTGATTATCCTACTGTACTCTTGGGAACCATTGCAGCTGGTATTATATAATTTCCATATAAATTAATATATAATATGATTAATGTTTTTTAATTTTTAATTATATTTATGTATTTTAATAGGAGGCAAAGTAACAACAGTTAACCCAAATTACAAAACAACTGAATTATCTTATCAACTAATCGATTCAGGTGCATCGGTTCTAATTGTACATCCAGAAGTTCTTGAAATTGCTATGGAAGCTTTAATCGATGTAAAAACTCCTACCTTCAGGGTATTATTGTTTGGTGATAAAGAAATAAAAGGATATAAACCTTATCGTTCTATTTTAATTGGTAATCGTGAAATTGAGCCAGTTTATTATACTCCTGAAGAAGCAAAGTCAACAACTGCTTATTTGATTTACAGTTCTGGAACAACCGGAAAGCAAAAAGGTATCGAACGTACTCATACAAATGTGGTTGCTCATTTATCTCAAGCAATTATTGCAAATTGTAATCTTGGGCCACACAGTATAATTATGTGTGTCACAGTAAGTCATATAAAAGAATTCTTTCAAGGTGTTTTCAAGTCTTAAATATAATTATTTAGAATAAGTTTTATTATTGCTTTAAAAATATAGCAATTTTTCCAAGGCTATGCGTTGTTTAATATTCTTCATTGTGCCTTAATTCATGTTTGTTATTCTATATATGACATTGTTTTATCATTACATTATTGATTAAATTTAAGAGTTATTCGTTAATAATATAGGGTGCAACCGCAATCATTCATTCAAGTTTCAATATAGAAACGTTTTGTGAATCAATTCAAAAATATAAAATTAACCATATTTACGCTGTGCCGCCAACTATACTTAAACTTGTCAATGATCCATTGGTTCAACAATTTGACTTATCAAGTGTGGAGATATTTATAAGTGCAGCAGCTTCATTAAGTGATAAATTGGAAAGAAAATTTTATGAAATCTTTAAAATACCAATTTGGCAAACTTACGGTAAGAAGTTTTATTGTTATGTTGTTTCTTTTCCTGAATTGTTTTACTATGAACATCTTCTCTATTGTTTTTGTGGCATAATAAAGGTCTTACTGAAACGTCTTCAATATTTCGACATTCTCCTAATACAATGAAGAACGCAGCTCCTGGTATTATGTCATTAAATGATGCGCTTACAATATAATAAAAATATATTTAATGGTTTACAAAGCAACTATCTTTAATAGGCTCTGTTGGATTTCTTCTTCCAAATATGAAGGTTAAAATATTATCAGATGATGGTCGCGGTAACTATACATATATTTATCCCTAATTTAATATTCAAATAAAATTTACCATTTACTTTTTAGAATTGGGATATAATGAACCTGGAGAATTATGGGTTCACGGTCCAAATATTATGAAGGTGCATGCAATAATAGAATTATTATACTATATTTATATGGTTATTTGTACTAAAAAACCTATACTTTTAAATAGAGTTATCTTAATAATAAAGAAGCTACAGATGCTGTATTTGACAAAAATGGATTTTTCAACACAGGAGATATTGTATCCGTTGATGAACAAGGTATATTTAATATTGTAGAAATTGTGCCCGCGGTAAAAATCAATACCAGGATATTATTAAAATATCCGGTAATTTATGATGTTTTTGATAAAAGCTCTATCCGATTATAATTCTATCTTATTGAAGAAAATTTGTATTTATATGTTTATACATAATAATAATTTCTTTTTTTTTTATAAAGGGAACTGTTTTATCGTTGATCGTAAAAAAGAGTTGATAAACTACAAGGTACGCTTATAATAAATATCAAGTTGTATTTTATTGTTTTATTTAACCAACACCAAAATTAAATCTGCAGGGTTTTCAAGTGTCACCTTCCGAACTAGAATCAATTCTTCTTACACATGATGCAGTATCAGATGCAGCAGTAATAGGATATTATTCTGAAAAAGAAGCAACAGAAATTCCTACAGCATATGTCACAATTAAAAACGAGTATGAGCAATCTCAAGCTTTAGCAAAGGAAATTCAATCTTTTGTAGATGAAAAGGTCATATCGTATAAAAAATTAGGAGGTGGTATATTTTTTATTGATAAAATTCCGAAAAATACATCTGGTAAAATTCTAAGAAAAGTGTTAAAAGAGAAATTAAAAAAGGATATTAATGAATAATAGAATAAAAGTTTTTTTCAACAATTATTAAGCAGCATTGTTTTTATTAAATATATAAGTATTCAAATCTAATATTTGTACAATTACTATAAACTTTCTTATAGTACAATCACTGGTATGTTAAGTAAATATTTTTTTATTAATCTCTAGTTATGATTTTCTCAACACTATTAATCCAAATTAAGTGAAATTTTTACTGAAATAGATTAAAATTTTATGCAATTTGGATAAGTAGTTTTTGAGATTACTTAAAAACTATACCCAAAGTTCTAAACTAGTCTCTAAAAAGTCCAGTCCGAACCATATCCCTACTTTTCGATACAGTGTTGTATGAGATGATAGAAGTTATGAAATACATGAAAATGCGAATTTTACATAATCTCAAGTAATAATCGTTGTAATACATATAAAGATAGCATTTACACTCGTCTGAATAAATAATACTGAGGCGTGATAACAAATTTGGATAAATTATTGGATAAGTAGATCTATTGAATTGTATTTCCGCTTATTAAATTTAAATGTAACGTCAATTAGTTGTTTATAATATTTGCTTTTTATTCTATATACATACATATCAAGGTTACCAGGGATACGAAGTTCAATTAGAGAGGAATCTAAATAATCTAAATAACATTTATAGATAAGATTCTTAACCTTAAATAAAAAGATTATAATGCAATTTTTATAATGTAATACCTTTAATTGCAGTCGATATCTTTCGTGTGTCAATAAATTTACTGGTATACATAATATCTTGATGTTTTTGTGAAATAATTGGTAACTTTTTACCAATTTTATCAGCATCCAAAAATTGCTTTTTAATTTTGTCGACATCTGTTTCATCTGAACCTTTCATGCATTTATTCCATTTGTAAAGTTTTTTATGGACGTCATTAACAGTAGGCCGTATCAGTGGATCTGAATTCATACATCGCCTTGCCAATTCTACATAGCAACTAGGAGTCTCAGAAGCAAATCCTGGCGTAACCCTTCATGAATCTTTATTGCAAGATCAATATCAAATTTATAACCATCAAAATGTCTTTGTCCAGTCGACATAATGACACCAAAACTATAAATATCTGCAGATGGTGTAAATTTTTGACCTGATAAAACCTCTGGAGCGACATAAGGCATGACTCCGTTAATGCCACTCGAAACATTCTCATTTTCCTTTCTAGATAACCCTAGATCTGCGATATAAGATTGCATATTTTGACTATTGTGTTGGTCTTGTAAAATGTTTCCACTGTGAAAGTCAGCATGAATATATCCTGCATAATGAATTTCACGTAGGTCATCTGAAATATCCAGAAGTAGTTTTAATTTAGTTTGCCAGGTAATATCTTGAAAATTTTTTCTTAAATATTCATTAAGACTTCCATTATCTGCATATTGAAATACCATCAAGTACTCATTTGTCTTCGTGCTATAAGTTAATCCATATATTTTAAGCTTACTACCCCACAATATACATTTCATATGGTTTTTGAACTTTATTTTTAATGTTATAAATAGATTAGATCATGATATATTTAATACATTTTAGAATAAATAATGATTAACTTACTTCATTTAAAGAGCTCGACAAGGTCTTGAGCGCAACAATGCTAGATGGTTCACGTGATCGTTCGTAAAAATAATTATCACCATTATCGCTACTTTTGTCTTCTCCATCATCACCGACAACAGTTTTCCAAGTTTTCTTAATTTTTCGTATACCATCTAACCAAATCGCAGAATATACTGTGCCTTGTCCACCTTCGCCTATTTTTTTAATACTATCTAATCTATCAAATGGAATCCATTCAATCATATTTTCATACCTAGTAGTTTTAATTTGAAATTCTTTTATGCAATTATCAATATCCTTATTTTCACTTGTCCATCCTTGGATAGTTATGTCAGGATCACATGTCTGACACCATGCCGCACGCGTGTTATCTTCATTACATTTACCGTATAAAGAATATCTTTTATAATTTCAAATTATTATGCTTTCATAATTATTTTGCAGTATCATTTAAAATTTACACAAATAGTTTAATGCTTACCAACTAAATTTATGAGTAAATTATATGTAATATTCTTAATAAGCAAATATTCATAAACTTCAATAGTATATTTTAAGCACTTTGATTAAAGAATATTCTTTACACTCACTCGCTAAAATAGCAAATAAAAAAAATTATCATAAATAGCATATTTCGCGGAAAACCATTTCTCAATAGTTGTTACATGTAACGACTCAGCAATTAATCAATAAACTTTTGCTACATGTAATATCTAGTGTATTACAATGGAATTCATTCAACTTAAATATTTTTTTAATTAATAAATGTTCCTTATACTCACACCCTAAAATTAACGCGAATAAAATGAAAATAAATATTATGAACTTAAACATTAATAAAACGTTCTTTATACTTACACACTAGATTAATAATAAAAACAATACATATTAATATTCACGAATTTAACAGATTATTATAGATTAAATGTTCTTAACACTTACTAACTAAATGCGAATAAATGAAAGTAAGTATCATAATCTAGAATATCGTTTCTTGATACATATGACTCTTTATACTCACTCACTAAATTAAGGAGTAATATAAAATAACTTAATGAGTTGAATATTACATTTAAATATTTTTATTTAACGATCGCTCTTATACTATACTTACAAACTAAATCAACACGAGTCAAGTAAAAATTAAATATTGCTAAATTTAGATATCTTTTTTAAGATTCATAAATTAATAAAGTTCTTTATACTTACTCGCTAAATTAATGTGAATTAAATATTAATGAACTTGAATAAATACATATTTATAAATGTTCGCTATACTTACTCTCTAATGAATTAAGATGATTTAAGTTTAATAAGAATATTATGAATTATATTTTTATATTTATTGTTTAATCATTATACTCACTCCCTAAAGAATTATTGTTGTGAAAATAATTAAATTTCCAATTTAAACCTAATTTTCAAATATAAATGATTTAATAACTTACTTTTGAAGCCAATACTTACTCCAGTCCCATATCTATAACACATAGCAGTTTTGAAAATTCCCATAGAATTACCTGCCTCGGCTGATTTCCGATAATGTGTAAATGCTATATTTTTATCCATTTCAACCCCAATTCCTAAACAATAACAGTGACCAACTTGATACATTCCGTTAGAATTATTCTTATCTGCGGATTTTTGATAATAAATAAATGCTTGGTTTTCATCCTTTTCAACACCAATTCCATATCCATAACAATAACCAAGCCAGAATATTTCGTCTGATTCGTTCATATCTACAGATTTTTAATCGTAAATGAAATTTATTGCATAGTGATATTTTAACTTCATTGATGAAAAGGTACCTTTAATTTCACTTGATATTCTTTGTTTATTACTCATAAAATCTTTGGGTCTTTGATAATAAATTAATTTTTTGTTTTCATCTTCCTCAAACAAGGATATTTTATCTGAATCATTCGTATCTACAGATTTTAATAATAAATAAATTTCATTATTTAGGTAAATTTTTTATGTTCAATTGAAATAAGGCCATACAAATTTAATTACTTGGTTTTCATAATATAAAACTTTTAATAGATCCGGCCGGCCGGCTTTTTTTTTATATAAAATTCTTTTTACAGCTATTATCATAATTCCTGAAACACCTGATAAAAATTAGCCGAATGATCGTTTGGCCGATTCGGTTAAGTTA